GAGGAGAATTAAAAAAAAAAAAAAAAGTTCAAGCAAACGTTGAGGGTTAAGGATAAGAGGGAAACATCATCCATTTGACTGAAAATAAATTTCTTTCTTATGAATTGAAAAATAAGCTTTAAAAATAGTTACTCCATTGTAATTTTTGCAAAGCAGGTATAGAGAAGTCTGAGGACAATGAAAAAGTCCCCACCTTTTTACTGGGTCACCCTAGACTCCATGAGAGCCTTTTTATAATGCTTAAGCAGAACTGAAGTGAACTAAACCCAAACCTCTGGCAATTACAGAAAGGAATGTGTGAGCCACCATAAGGTTTGGGGTGGTGAAATAGGAGTTGTTAATTCACTGCAGTTGAAACACAAAGCATTTCCCTTTCTTCTCCCTTACAGGAGACTTGACCTCAAACCAAGAAGTACATGAAAAGGGGGGGATTTCCTTTTTCTTAGTCTAAACCAAAGAGTAATCACAACTACCAAAGAAAATGCATGATGAATGGTCAAATCAATTCCCTGATCAGCTGTATGATCCCATCTTAAGAAGAAGCAGCAACTGCTGAATGAGCAAAGGATCAGATGTATACCCAACAAATGGGGTTACCACAAATATCACTGTGATAAGTCTTTCAAATCAGGCAACATCAAGAAGGCCAAACAAGGCTATACCATATGGTATGGCCAAAGGAAACAGGACCCAATGAATTCATTTTCAAATGAAGAAAGAAAAAGGGTACAGTGCACACATGCGTGCACAGGACACACAAATACATACACACACACACACACACACACACACACCCTGGCATGTAAACTAATATAAGATGAAGATAAATAAGACATAAAGGTTAGCCACTTATGTTGATAATTAACATGAATAAAAAGGCATTATATGTTTACATAGCCGGTTTTAATCAGCTATGGAACTTATGCGAATGTATTAGGAATGATTTTTTTTAAAAAACCGTTCACAGCTTAGAATAAAAAGCACACTTATTGCACTCTTACATTTTATTTCTGGCAATTATAGTTTATTTCTTACCCTCACATTATTTTTCCCTATTCCCCAGACTGAACTGCCACCCCACCCCATTTTGGTCCCTTTTCTCTCCATCTGTGCCTAGTCTGGTAACCCTGTTGCTTAGGCTACACTCTGCAGTTTCTTATGTAACTCACATCCCACCAAGACACATGGGATCAAAAGCTTAACACAAATGCAAGAGAGCGATTTTCAAAGCAAAACATGACGAAGCCCCTCAACTCATAACCCCATTCCAGCCTGTCAACAGACCCTTTCCTTATACACCTCTTCATGCATTTCTTGCCCGACTCCCCTGCATCTACACTATCAATGGGAACCAGTGGTTGTGGGTGCTGGATCATGTACTCAGCCTGCCAGGAGAAGGAAATGATTTGCACAAAAAAATTTTTGATACTAACATGAATAAATATATTTTAGTTCTGTTTTCAAAGAGTACTTCAATCTATAGAATTCCTTACCAAAAAATGCACCACAAAAAATGATACACTGGCTGCGTCCTCATGCACAACTGGTTATATCATTACAATTAGTCAAAACGGCTAAATAAATGTTTTTTGAAAGTGATTTAGTAATTAATGAAACTAAATTAGTTGAAATTGTGGGTGCTGAAATAAAGGATCTACTTTGATCACTTTGTTGAGGTGGTGACTAAGTGTCCTCATGTATTTTTTTTTTTTTTTTACCTGTTACCTTAAGATTTTAGGACTTCAGATGCTGTCCTTTTCTACTTCAAAAATACCCAATAGGAACTGTTAAATATCCTTCTCACAATGAACAACAATTAGGACTGAATTTTAATTTAAATGTCTAAAGTTACTTAAAAAAAAAAAGCTTATGGTCAAGTGTACTGATATAACAAACATCTTACCAGTATTTACCTTTACCAGAGCTAGAAACATGTACCACAAATGCACTGGTCACTTTACTCTCCTCTGGTCAGTTACAAATCATTGCCTCTGCAGGCAGAGGTGCTACTGCCCTCCTTGGGCATTAGTAATTCATTTCAGTATTTCAGCCAAACAGCTAAAGGATGTGCTGGGGACAATACATTGGCTTTCTTGGGGGTGGTGAGGAATGAAACAAGATACAAGAACCACACCATGAAGTACGTCCAGTTTTACACATACCTGCTAGGTCATTCACAATTCCAATGGCCCTTCACAAAGGGGGTCTCCAGAGATCGCCCTCCTTGGCCCCCCACCATGCACTACAGCAGGATTAGTAGCACAGTCCAGCTTCATTTTGCAGACAAGTCTGGGAGGTGAGTTACATTTCAAACTCTGAAAATTCAGTGTCTAAGTTGGCAGCAGTACTCTGGAAACTAATCAAATCAAATTCTTTACTCTATTTTAATTTCTCCTTTCTCATTAGGTTAATACATGATTGCTGCCCAGCATTACAGTACTTCAACACTAAACTACAGCAGTTTCTTTAAATGTCTGTCAAACATTTCTGTTGTATAAAAGTTCCATGCTTTGAAGAACTGATGGGAGTAGAAAAAAGTTTCTCTAGAAATGTCACTGAATTGTATTTTCAACCTAGTTRCTCTATGTGATAAATATATCTGACTATACTAGGGATTATGTGCTTTAAAAAAATAATTTTGTTCACTGAAAATTTACTTGTGTTTTCTCATTTTTTAAATGTGATTTTGGCTATAAACTCTTAAGTGCATTTATCTTTGCAGTCTAAATTGCACTCTAAAAAATATTAACACAGCTGAGTTAAACCAGAGTGGCTGCTCTCTTCACAAATCACTGATTTCTGCTAAAATTTTAGCTTTTTTTTTTTATTGCATCATGAAGGCACAGTAAGATCATTTGGCAAATTGTCAAGGTATTTTTCTAGAGCCTCACCTACACCATTTCCCTGTATGACCTGTAAGCTACTTGCTATTCCTACTCACGGTAAACCTTCCGTCCTGGCTGTGGTTTATGGCCTAACAGTTGACATCTGATATTCTAGCATTAAAAACTCCAACTGGGACAAAAAGGAGAATCTTGCATAAAGGGCAGTCACTCTACCCTCTTGGCTGGGCAGTCTCTCATGAGTATCTGTGCAAATGACAAAGCTGTGGCTAACTCATTATGAAGATGTGCTACCTTGCTGAGCCTACTGAAAACTAAGATCACATCACTGGTAGTGAAGCGATACCCTAACTATTTAACTCCATGCAATTGACTTCAGATTAAGATTCTGAAACGTACCCCTAAACAGATTCTGGCACCACTTCCAACAACATTCAGATACTCGAACTACAATTTTTTTTTTTTTTTTTTTTTACAGTATCACTGCTTAAATGTATAATGCCCTTTAGGACAAAATGAGAGTGCTCAAATAGAAGTACACATAAAAGTTAAAATCTTAAATCATCTTCATGTTCTAAAGCTCCTGACTTTTCATATTTTAAGATAAATAACTATTCATTACCTCATCCTGAGGAGGTAGTTTTTTTGAAGAGGTCACCTGAACCCTGCAATGTGTTTCAAACTACAGCTAGAAGAGATTTGCAAAAGCCTGGCGAGGTGGGTATGCGGGTGGGGACAGGTGAGTCTGAGGAGGGGTGTGTAGCAGCTCCAGTGGTGCCTGATGGATACAAGATAGTGCGCTGTGATACAAGAGCTGTGACACACCACACAAGAATGAGGGTGTTTACAAAGTCTTGGGCTGACAGTGCTGAAGGCTGGAATTATTTCTTTTTAATGTTCTTCCTCTCTAATACCAACATAAACATAACTTATATGAAATTTCAGCTTCTAGGATGCCTCAGTATGACCTACTAAACCTCAAATACAATCAGGGATGGGATGTTCAGGAACCAGAATTTGATAGCTTGACAAAGTCTTTTAAAGTGCATGTAAGTACAAATGATCACATTGGATTTTTTTATTCACAAACCCCTTCTATAAAACATGTTTGTTTTTTTTTTTTGGGGGGGGGAGGGTCAATAGTATTTCAGTGGCAATTTTCAGGGTCCTAGACCCTAGTTTAATAATAAAGAAAAAAAACCATAAGAAATATTATATTATTTAAAAACAATCTTTTATAGTTGCTTTCAAATTTTTTAGAAGGCTTCATTCTTTCTACCAAAAATGAAACACCCGCAGAAGGCACTGCAACCACTTTATGGACAAGACTTGACAGCTACAGCCTTATAAGATGATGGGTGAAGCAGCCACACACTGTCTCCACAAATTACTCATAAAGTGCTTTGCACAAACAAGGGTTTCTTCCTTCTGTTTTCTTAGGCGCTCAACAAGTCTTTCTGCAGTATAAGCATAAAAAATTAAACAAAAAACCCGAAAAGAAACTCCTTTTTTCGCCATTTGTAAAGTAAAGTGAAAAACTATGATTTGATGGGAATAAAGAAAAGGAAGGTTTAAACATTTTATTTATTTCTAAAGTTCTCTATAAAAAATTCTCTCAAAACCCTGAGCCTGGCTTCTGGGCACAGCTTCATTTATCAGCTTTTCAGATGAAACAGCAATCTACTTTAAAATGAAAGGAGGATAAATAGTATTACCCTGTATTTCATTCAGAAAACTGGAATGCTAAGCTTCCTCCCTAAGTGTGCTGGAGTTGTCCCAGATGCTGAGGTGGCCCCGCTTGCAGGCCCAGCACACAGAGCAGGCTCTGCTCCTCAGCAGGACCCACATACACATCTATGATTCAAGCCCTGCTCTCTCCAGAGAGGATCTAAGCTCTGAGCCAATCTTTGTAAAGGGAACACAGCCATATTTACAACCATCTATAGAGATATATTTAAAAAGGACAAATAAACAATGCTTTTCAGAAAGAGGCAGCATCATATGCACAGAAGATACCTTTTKATTTCTAAATTTTCTCTGCTCATGTAAGACTTAAAAACATTTCACTGACTGGGGATGTGGCTCAGTGGTAGAGCATTTGCTTGGGTTCCATCCCCAGCACTGCAAAACAAAACAAAACAAACAAAAAAACCCAAAACCAATAAAAATAAAAAAAAAAAATAAAAACAACCAGTAAAAACACACCATTGTTAAAACTGTTAATAACTTAGGATATATTCCATTTTACTGGAACAACCTTTGTTAAACCCATGAAATTTTCAATAGGCCTTCTTCTGATTAAGATATTTTAGCAAAATTCATCTAATGAAATATAGTATAGTGGGAGAGGAATTATAATCTGAAAAACTTAACTAACTTCTGGTTCCCTGATATAAGTCCTGTGGAATTTCCTTCAGGTCCTTGGCTATGACTCATCTGGGCTAAGTACATCTCATTTAATTTGGATTCCTCAATCCTGATAAGTGATTCTAAGGAGATTATTTGCTATTAATACATCTGGTCACTTTCTTTGCTACTTTGGTGATTTATAATCTGCCCTTTAATAAAGGTCAAGGGAAGCTATGACTAGGTTATATTTTCCATTTGTGAAAAGACAAGACAGATTTAGGTTCTCAATACCACAGCAGCTCTTTCTATAAAAACAACTGATGGTAGGCTTCACACACCCTACCTCAGTCTTGACATCCTTAAGATTTTCCTATTCTCTGCTTGGGGAACTCAGCTGCAAAATTATCCAACCTTTTGAAGACCAGGCTTGGGAAAAAAGGAAGGAGGAGAATGAATAGAGATACCACCATTTTTATTTCAGGTTGCATATTCTAGGTAAAAGACTAGAAAGTGGATGTAGGATGTAGTGTTGGAATCAATTGGAAGAAACAATGAGATTATCAGCAAAGATGTTAGTGTGGATCCAGCAAGTACCATTAATTTAAAAATTATAAATATTTGTCATTATGCTAAGACTCCCCATATTTAGGTAGAGAAAAGGATAATGATCTTTCTTTAAAAGTTGTTTATGTAACAAAAATACAGTTTTCAGGCTATATAATTCTGGTGGGAACTATAATTTCACTCCAATTCAATTACAGCTGAAAATTATTTTCTTTTTAATAAAAATATAATAGAAGAAACTCAGAAATTAAAACCTGTACCTTACATTTAATTACATAAATTTCTCACATTCAAAACTGTTATTAAGCAGTTTTGCAGGCTTTTAATCAGATACTGTCCATGGCATTTTGGCCCTGGACAAAGTAGCCACATAAGTACTTAGTGACTGGAAGAGCTTAGAGGAAGATATAGACTGTATTTTCCTGAGAATTTGCTACATTGTGGAGGAAACAAGTCCCCAACTCTCATCTTCATTGCTGGACCCAATGAGAAAAGAAGGCGGTATGTGCCAGCACTGTCCAGCCTGCATGGTTAGGCAGAGCCCCAGGGAGCAAGGCAACCAGAGGCTAGAGACCTGGGAGGTCCGGAAGAAGATGCAGCATTCCCTTTTCCTCTGCTCCCAGACTCCTCCTTACCGCTCAACCTCCAATCAAATAAATAGAGCTTCACTGTGACAGAATTTGTCAAGGACTGAACATATACCACACAGGAAGGGGATGCTGCATTTTTGTTCCATTCCTCAGAAATTAACTGATGGTAGCCAGGGGAAAGAGCTCCACAACAAAATCCCAGAACAGGAAAGAGAACGATGCTTGGTGATTGAAACTGCCCCATCAGATGATCAGCCACAAACTGATCTGGTGGTTAGAAGGGCAAAGTTGACTGGCAGACCTTCCATAGCAAATCTCCCAAGCTGTAGCAGCAGTTTCTTTCCATCATGCCTGACCATCAAAAGGTCAGAATTCAGGGTCTCTCCTCTTTCTTCCTGGGAGTGGGCAGACGTGTGCACGTGGTATTTGTGGTGAAGAAGAAACACTGGCAGCAGAGAATTCTGGTTCCTAAAACATTCTTCCCTCTTTTGTTGGAAAGGAAACTCCATTCTGTTCCATACCAGCTTATGCATTGAAAATTTTATATCTTTAAAAAAAGGTTTGAGGAACAGAATTGTGTTTTGATGTTAACAAACTGTACGAACACAAGACTTAAATAAAGAGTAGATGCTGCCATGATGGTGTGACTACTTGAAGGCTGCAAATTCTCCTGTAAGGGAGGACAAGAGCTAATTTTAAAATAGTTATCTAAAAATAACCTCAAGGTAGTAAAACTTCATTTAAATCTCATCGAAAGGTGACCAGTTATATACTACAAACCTAGTATCATCATCACTAGTTTAAAACCCCAAATGGCTGAAATATATGAAAGAATCCAAATATGTATATATGATAGATAAGTATGGTTCAGCTATATCAATAAAATATCAAGTCTGCAGATAGTTTCACAGCTGGGTTTGATATGTTATGGTTTAGATCAAGCTAAAAATAGTTTCAAAACAAAATTTCAAAAGAAATTGGTTGCACAATTGCAATGTCAACTTGCATAATACTTCTCTAAATTATCAACTCATTTTCATCTATCATATTACATATATAATGAAAGTCACTATAATAAGGAAGAAGCAGAAATTATCCTTGTTTTTATAAAAATAATTTTTAGTTGTTGGGCTGAGCTGTGGCTCAGTGGCAGAGCCTAGCACATGTGAGGCACTGGGTTCAATCCTCAGCATCGCATACAAAAATAAGCAAATAAAATAAAGGCATGCTGTCCATCTACAACTACAAAAATTAAATTTTTTAAAAATTTGTTGATGGACCTTTATTTTATTTATTTGTATGTGGTGCTGAGAATCAAAACCAGTGCCTCACGCATGCTAGGCAAGCGTGCTACCACTGAGCCACAATCCAGCCTTTATCTTCATTTTGTACAAACCAATTGAAAGGTCTAATGATCTGTCCACATCACACATTTGACAGGAGAGGAAGTCCAGACCTCCCACTTTCTAGTTAATTTTACTTTTTCCAACTATAAAAAATTAAACCTAGGCACTTTTCACTGAACTTAATTCTCTGCATAAAGAATTCTTTAAATCATAAAGTCCCTTTGAGGTACTACATTTCTTCAAGCTTGACAAATTTGGAAGCTTCCTGGAATTATTAATATTTTTTGTACTGGGTATTGAATCAGGGCTCTTTACCACTAAACTAACATCACTAGTCTTTTTTAAAAGAAATTTCAGATTCTTTTAAAAAACTTTTCTTTTAGTTGTAGATGGGCATGACAAATTTATTTATTTATTTATTTTTATGTTATGCTGAGGATGAACCCAGAGCCTCACATATACTAGGTATGGGCTCTACCACTGAGGCACAATAACAGCCCTCCCTAGTCCTTTTTATTTTATTTTGGGTCTGAGTTGCCAAGACTGGCCTTGAGCTTGTGATCCTCCTGCTTCAGCCTCCCAAGTAGCTGGGATTACAGGTGTGTGCCACTGTGATAGTTTCATGGCATCATTTTTCATCTAACATTCTGTCTACATCTGATACTTGTAAACTCAAGGCCAGTTCTTGTTACTATATAATACTAAAGTTAATTTCTGGGAGTTGGTTAATAATTGACAATTATTAGAATTTAGTCTGCTATAACATCATTTTTTGCATAGCAGTGTCTGAGGAGGATCTAAGCAATCACTTATATGAATACACTATTAATCTAGGAAGAACCTATCCATTTTTTCGTGGTTGTTAGATTCTACTTGGTTGCCAGAGAATGTCAGCATGTCCCAATGCAGAGAATATTACCTAGTACCCTGGTAACTGGTTGAACCCTGGGATTTGTATGCTGATGATATTAGCAACTGTTTTGAGTGCCAGACATGCCAGATGCCTCAACTTAACATTTTATACACATTTACATCTGACGCTCATAATAATCCTATGAGGTAGACCCTATTATTGTCTTCATTTTATAGATGAGCAAGTTGAGGTTTAGAGTGATCAAGCAACTTATCCACCAAGATCACTCTGTGGAACAAGAGCTAATTTTAAAATAGTTATCTAAAATAACCTCAAGACAGTAAAACTTCATTTAAATCTCATTGAAAGGTGATTAGTTATATATTTCAAAACTAGCAACATCATCACTAGTTTAAAACCCCAAATGGATGAAGTGTATGAAAGAACCCAAATATGTATATATGATAGCTAAATATGGTGGAATGCTTGTGGAATGCTAACCTAGGTGCTGCCTCCAAAGCCCAGGTTCTCAACAATTAACAAGCCCCTGAACAATTTTTAATAATTAAAATTTGTATTCCCACACTGATTTCAACTAGTTATTGAACAGCAGATAGTCCTTACTTCTATTCAGGGATTCCTTTTATTAAACAATTAACCATGGTGTTGCAAAAATGAAGATGGGGAAGGGTAAAAGAATTATTACCTTAAAGTTAAAAGGATTAAGGAATTTGGCACTGATTAAAATGAAGAGCCRAATTACTAAGACCTTGGAGAGTGAAGGATTTAGAGCACAATCACAGGAAGCTATTATATTAACAGAAACTTGAAATACACAAACATACTCACCATCATTGCTCACTTTTGGGTACATTATGGTTTTAAGGTTATTTTTAGTATTTTAATCAATTTCTTTAAAATGACTTGCAATATTCATATGAGTAGTAACTGTATCCATCACAATTCAATGTGAAAATAAGATTTAGGTAATATTTTGTTGAGCACTGTCCTATTCCACAAACTTAAAATATTAGCCTTAAAAATAATGAACAAAACAACCCCCAAAGAATAACATCTTATCAACAAACTCCAAATCTCATGCGAGTAAAACAACACTAAAGATATCCTACCAAGTCTACTACTTCTAATCAAATGAAGTTTTTTCATAATCAGATTCTGGGTGAGTGGGTAGAGGAGACAAAAAGAACTTACAGTTTAGGAAGCAATAAAATAACTCTATGAATATCCATGCAATCACAAATAATTTTAAAGGAAAGATGGAAATAACAGGTGATGAATCTGCTTTTGAAAAATAAATCTACTCTAATTCCTTTTTGCATATCTGGGAATCTCTAGATTCCATCTCCTACTCAATTACTTGAATTCAGGGGCAACTTTGCTTGTGTGAAGTAATTTGAAGTGAAACATCTGCTACTTTTTGAAAATCTTGTTATATCAACTGAACTTATCAAAAAAATTAAAGACAAACAACATTTTCTTTCTCCTTCTTTCTGGTTGAGGATAACCTAAGCTTAATTTTCTATTTGATGAAAATAGGAACAGGGCAGATAATTACTTGGAAAGACTTTTAAGAAAACAAGACCTTGTGTTTTTAGATACCTCAAATAACATGATTTATTTGAAAGGTAAGGACTTTGTTAACTAATTTAAAAATATAAACAATTATTCTCTATTCTAGAATTGAATGTATTGCAATGGTCATTATACACACAATTTAACAAAGTTCCTTGAAGATAAAATATGCTATGAAAAATCTAAAAGGTTGTTCCTTATACAAATCAATCACTGCTTTAGATGTAGGAGACAACTGAAACCAGAGTAAACTTTTTGTGATGATCTTTCAGGCAGTTTCAAAAGGATAAGAAACATTCTGGCATAGATACCCTGGACTGCCTGAATTCATAGAGAAACAGCACAAGTGAGGTGATATACATGGTATAATGAAAAGTGCTATAGAAATGCTTAATACTTCAGTAATTCTCAATCAAAAAAGGATTATAACTGGTAGTATTAATTTCATAGAATTTTAAAAAGGCAGACTATATTCTTGAGAATGACTCATTTGAGAGAAAGGACATTTAAGCTAGTATGTTAAACAGCTACATTTTAGGATGATTTTAACTGGTTTATAATTTAAATGACTAATATTATAATACCTGAAAATAAACTAACCTGAATGAAGCATTTAATTAAATTCTGTGATCTTTTTTTTTTTTTTTTTTTTGGTGGTGTTGGAGCTACTAGAGATAGAATTCAGGGGCACTTAACCACGGAGCCACATCCCCCGCCCTATTTTCTATTTTATTTAGAGATAGGGTCTCACTAAGTTGCTTAGAGCCTCACTAAGTTGCTGAGGCTGGCTTCAAACTCTTGATCCTCCTGTCTCAGCCTCCCAAACTGCCAGGATTATGGGCATGAGCCACTGTGCCTGGCAAATTCTATGGTCTTTAAACTACTTACCTCAAAACAAATCTTATTTCTTATCACTGACTCTTAAAAGTTTTAAAAGGTAAAGCAAATATTATAACAAGGTTGCCTTCTGAAGAAGGAAATCAATTTTACTGAAAAAATATCTGAGGGCAAGGCCTTAGCAAAGAAGTAATCAATCACAAGAAAACAAACATCCTGTTTCAATTACCTAATGAAAGAGTAGCTCTACATATGCTTAGAAAAAATTATGTTTTTCATTTTTTAAAAAAAATATTTATTATTTAGTATTAGTTGGACACAACACGTTTATTTTATTTATTTACTTTTATGGGGTGCTGAGGATTGAACCCAGGGCCTCGAGTGTGTTAGGTGAGTGCTCTACTGCTGAGCCACAACCTCAGCCCCTATGTTTTTCCTTTTTTGGAGACTGTATCTAAAACTCAGCATAAAACAAACAAATAACAACAAGCAGAAAGAGAAGCTGATTTAATTCTAAAGATTCATATTCTCTGATCTAAACATCTCACTTGCCATATTTCCGTGTTTTTCAGGTTCTTCTACTAATCTAGTGGGCCAAACTTGGAAGGGATATTAAATTACTATGCAACCTCTGGAGGGATGCTCCACTGTCTATGGGCATGAGTTCCTAAGCAGCTCAACAGGGCTTAGCAATGCTCACTGGCAAAAAAAAAAAAAAAAAGACAGAAATGAAAGAAGTCAAATGCAGATGGCGGGGATTGGGGTGGTGGGAGTGTTTTCTGGGCTGGATAGTGTTGGGCAGAAAGAAAGAAATCAATTTTACTGAAAAAATAAGTAAGGCAGGTATATTGGAAGATGATACAAAGAGTTCTATCAATAAAAAGATCCTTTAAATGCGCAAGGGCCTGGGTCGATCTCCAGCACTGAAAAACAAAAAACAAAAACACAAAACCCTCCTATCTTTATTTCAAAATTCCCAAAACTTTTTTGAGCACTCCAAGACTAAGTCAATTTTGTGAAAATTTTGTTAGCCAGGTGCCTGCTATTCTTTTTGTGAATACATACAACTTTACTAACTACTCCTCCTCCTATCTTTAGAGACACTGGAGGTTTTAGAAATCATTCACTTTGATGTTTTGCAACATGTTACATTCTTTTATCCCATAATTTTTTTTAAATATGAAAAAAATGTTCTTTTTTACTATCTTGAAAGGCACTAATCAATATATAAAGTCATAATGTCAATGCCTTTAATTCTTTTTTCTTCTTGGTACCAGGGATTGAACCCAGGGGGTGCTTAACCACTAAGCCACATCCCTAGCCCTTATTTTTCATTTTGAGAAAGGGTCTCACTAAGTCGCTTAGGGCCTTGCTAAATTGCTGAGATTGGCTTTGAACTTATGATTCTCCTGAGCCTCTGGGATTACAGGCTTGGCACAATGCCTATCTTAAGTTAAATGAGGGCCAAAAGGTATGTCACAGTTATTTTTCGTTGTTGATGGACATTTATTTTATTCATTTATTTATATGTGGTGCTGAGAATCAAACCCAGTGCCTTACACATGTGAGGCAAGCACTCTACTACTGAGCCACAACCCCAGCCGCCATAGTTATTAATGAGTGGTTTTCCTGAATGAAATCTAACTATGCAAGTAAAGTATTTCAGAAGTTTGTCTCTGGTATTTAAAAACTAAATTATAATTAAGTTACAATTTTCCCAGTTTTTTTTCTTTATTGACTTTGAAGAAGGATATGCAGATGTCTGTCTGCTGAAATAACTTTCAGTTGCTGGCTGTATTTAAAAATTAGCACAAATCTAAAATGAGTARGTAAAGATGTAGTTAAGAGTCTAGCTTTTGTTCAGAGGACTATAAGTAGAGTTGGCAGTATCTTTGATAAGAACAACACTGCCTCCCTACTTTTTTATTCCTTTTGAATCACAGTAGAAGAGTACTGTATGAATGCCACATTATAGTCATTTTCTACACAAGAATATTTAAGTATTAGAAGAATTTCATATTGTGGAATGCAAAAAAGAGAGGAGCAAGCATTCATCAAGAGCAGAATCTTGCTGGACAAAGGATATAAAGGGGACAGAAATTTTATGAGACACAATGATAAAGTGATTGCTATAATATATATCACAAGAGATAAGTATATTCTAAAGTAGCAACTTAAAGAAGAAATCATTACGTGATTATGTGGCAACCAGAATTACCTAAAGTTCTTAGAAAATTCTGTGAAGTTATTTTTGGGAAAAGGAGATGAGAATAAGGGGGCAATGCATTTTTATTGTAAGGAAATTTGACTTCTATTCATGTAAGATACCCTTAATATATACAGAAAACTAATCTAAAAGGAATTCCAATTTATAACCCGTTCCCACTAAAATTTCAAAATTAAACCATTTTACTCATGTCAAACATGCCACTCCTCAGTAATATTGTTGGTCATTTACACCCACAATTTATTAAAAGAAATTTAGTCATTTGCTTTAAGGAGATAAACATCCAAATTTTCTACAAAGTAGTAAAAAGAAATAGTTATATAAAAAATATTAAGTAGAATAAGAACAGGATTATTCAATTCTAGTGACTTCCTAAATTAGATCTGCTTTGGTTTGCCCTATTTGACACAGGCTAACCTATTGACAACTTCCCCTCTGTGAATATGCATCTCCTCTGGCATCCCTAATGATGATTGACAGTTAATAACAAAAGCTGCATGAGAAAACTGAAGTTTAATAATTAGAATGACCAACGGAATAAAACAATTTCACAACAGGAAATCAAGCCTCTGGAAGAGGCACTGCCAGTTTTTAGTAATGTTTGTGTGTTTTTTACACACAAACACATGGTTAAATCCAATATTAGGGTATGGATTTTAGATTGGGAAAAAATTTTTACCTAGTGTTTAAACACGCAAGTGTTCTTTGGCTCATCTTAAAAAAGAAAAGAATATCCTGTTCAGTATAACATATAAGCAAACACATGTCCATTTATTTTCTTTTTGTTGCTACCCTCCTTTAATTTCTCACTCATTTAATCTGTTTCAGTGGACAGGAAACGCACCATATCCCCCTGCCTGGATGGGTGTTTTTGGAGAAGCACAAGCATAGAGACTAAAATCCTCTGTTTGGAAACCAGCCCGATTCAAGGAGGGTTCTGATGCACTGCGGTGAATTTTTGGCAATGAGCGGGCCAGCAGCTCAATAGAGGCGAGAATCTATGGAAAAAGAAAACAAACAAATAAAAAGAAAACAGAATGAAAACCTGGGTGGCATAAATCTTTAAAAGTCTCATCATACAAGAAAGCACCTGAAATTACATTGTTTTTAGTATTATAAATGTCTAGAAAAACAGAAGCTGGTATTTTTCCCTAAAAGCAATTAACAAAAAACAAAACAAACCACCCGATACTACAACTTTTATTTCTGTAAACTGAATGGAGAAAGTAACTCCATTAAGAGCTTTTCTTTATGTTTTAGATCATTTGCCAAACTTGGAACAGTAAATAATAAAAAAATTTAAAACCAATTATATTTGTTTGGCACAGACCACAAGTTCCTTTTGGAAAGAAGATAGAGTATAAATAAGTATAAGTAAGTACTACATGGCTAGCTCTAAACAGAACAGAGCAACTTATCCTTTAAAGAAACTCAGCAATGGGAAATGGTTCACACACATATAAATAAGACCCCATTGACCTAGACTGCTAGTGTTATGTCTCATAAATGAGAAGTGACAAATGAATGGTGAAGACAGGGAAAGTCTACAAATAAATAACAATATACAAAGCAGAGAAATTCACATATTTTAAGGAACAAAAGAAACATGATATAAAAGTATACAGCATGATAATGCATGTTCATAATCATGAGACGTGTACAAAGGGCTTGGCACAATGCCAGGCATAAAGTAAGTACTCAAAGAAATTTTAGCAGAAATTATCATTAATACTATTATTACTGTTCTGAACTATCAATATTATTTTTTAAGTCAAACTATAATCTTTATAGTGACTAGTAAAAGGAGGAAAAGAAATAAGCAATGTTATAAAAATTTTTGAATTCTAAAACAAGTAAATAAAATTTAAGCTGGGTACATTAGTGCATGCCTATAATTCCAGCTACTCAGGAGGATTTAAAGTTCAAAGCCAGACTCAGCAACTGTGAGACACAGTGACAAAATAAAAAAAATTAAAAAGGAGCTAGGGATATAGCTCAGTGGTAAATGTGCCTCTAGGCTCAATCACTAGTATCTAAGTGAATGAATTAATGAAAACAAACATAAAAAGTAAAAAGTATAAGGTTCTTTAAATCCCAATCTCCAGGGATAATCATATTTTCTTCTGGATCTTTCCTATACATAAATATATACATATAAAAACAGAGCCCATCTTCACCACCTTTTATACTACACTTTTTTCCTCATTGTTTTCTTTTTACCCTCATTAATATCCATGCCATCTATAAAGTTACCTTCATTTTTATGTCTTCAAATTTAATCTATTATAGTAAACTTTTTTTTATATACCCAAGTACTTATGGAAGTAGGTTTGGTAGCACAGGGTTTTAAGAGTATTTTAAATTTATGGATTCTACACCAAATACTTCCCACAAGCTGAACAATTTACTTTCTCACTACACAGTACCCACCCCCCAAAAAAAAATTCTTAAAAGAATAATTCCTACCTCCCAACATTGTTCTCAGTGTTGGATATTCTTTGCCCTCTTTCTACTGACTTGTCTGTGTGTGTGTGTGTGTGTGTGTGTGTGTGTGTGTGTGTATGTTACTAGGGATGAAACTCAGGGGCACTCTACTACTTGTGATCCTCCTGCCTCAGCCTCTTGAGTTGCTGGGATTGCATGTGTGTCCCACCATGGCCAGATCTTTTGACTGTCTTACTTACTGATTTTGTAAAATGTTCACCTTTGTTATATATGCTACAATTAGTCAGGTGCAGTGGCATATACCTGTAATCCCAGTGGCTTGGAGGATTGCCTCAAGGCTAGCCTCAGCAATTTAGTGAGGCCATATCTCAAAGTGAAAAACAAAAACAAAAAAGGGCTGGGCATGTTGCTCCTGGGTTAAATCTATCAAAAATATATTTTTCTCTTTAAATTTTAATATTTTTTTTACTATTGTAGAAATTAAAAATATTTAATGCAGGCATATATACTATATTAAACTTTATAATTTCCGAACTTTGCCTCTGGTTTAGGAAATCCTTTCCTTCTTCAACACTGTAGAAATGATTTCATATTTTATAGTTGTTTTACATATAGATCTTTAGCCATTTAGGATTTATGTGGTGAAAAATTGTATGGTGTAGAAAGATAACCTCTGGGGCTGGGGATATAGCTCAGTTGGTAGAGTGCTTGCCTTGCATGCGCAAGGCCGTGGGTTCAATCCCCCAGCACCACAAAAAAAAAAAAAAAAAAAAAAAGGAAAAGAAAAGAACCTCTAACGAGCTGTGTGTGGCAGCACATGCCTGTAATCCTAGCTACTTGGGAAACTGAGGCAGGAGTATCACCAAGTTCATGGCCAGCCTCTGCAACCTGGGGAAACCCTGACTCAAAAAACAAACAAAAGAAATAACAGGGTTGAGGATGTTGATCAGTTATCTGTCAGCAATTATGATAACAGATTAACAGAATGCCCCGAGTTAATTCCCAGTAAAACATACACACACAGAAAAACAACAAACTAAACAAAAACAAACCTGTAATGAAAATTTAAATGTAATACTTAAAGGAGTAGCCTCCACTAATCTAGAAAATTCATATTCATATGCACATTTCAATTTTTGATACCACTAAATGAATGAAATGATATATTTAGAAGTATGAACAATTCTGTCCCTTTAAGTAAGAAATGTTAGCACCTCGGATGTGAAAAGAGATCATGGTATTGGCCCAGCTGCTGATGTTCAACAACACTGGTCTTTCATCCAGATGTTTTCTGAGTTAAAAACCAAGCCAAGCCAAGCCAAGCCAAGCCAAGCCAAAGCAAAGCAAAGCAAAGCAAAGCAAAGCAAAGCAAAGCAAAGCAAAGCAAAGCAAAGCAAAGCAAAGCAAAGCAAAATATCCCAAAACTCTTTCTTAAAGTAACAGCAACGTAGGGTCATAGAACATAAAAACATTTATCTATCCATTAACCATTTAGCCTCCCCTTTCTTTTCTGGGGCAGCCCTTGACACTTGCTATAACCATCAATTCTACCTTCTTTAATTTTTTTTCTCTTTTAAACATTTATTTTTTAGTTGTAGTTGGATACAATACCTTTATTTTTATGTGGTGCTGAGGATCGAACCCAGGGCCTCGCACATGCTAAGCGAGCGCTCTACCGCTGAGCCACAACCCCAGCCCCTTCTTTAATTCTTTAGAAAAGAAAAATTTTGGGATAAAAAATGAAGGATGAGTGAATCTCATTTCTGTAATAGTGAATTATCTAAGTATTCTAGTTAGGACTGACATTCAAAGGCATAAGAACCACAAAGGAATGTCCCAGCAATTATGATAACAGATTAACTACGGAAGTCTATACTTCCCACTTTTATAAGTTGTTCAAAACATTACATAGCTCTTGACAAGTACTTCCCACTTTAAACAACTGATTTGTCATGGGGTATATTTAGACAGCGTTATCAGGAAATTCCCAAGCATAAGAAAATGCTGCATTTATATTATAATATCTGTTATAGTTAAATGCTTTAAGCTTGTTACCTTAGTTTCAGTTCTTTGTGATGTTTATTTCTTTTTTCCTTTCTTTTTTTAAAAAAATATTTTTTAGTTATAGTTGGACACAATACCTTTATTTCACTTATTTATTTTTATGTGGTACTGAGGATCGAACCCAGGGCCTTGTGCGTGCAAGGCAAGCGCTCTACCGCTGAGCCACAACCTCAGCCCCTTTTTTTCTTTCTTAATTTTTTGTGAGGTGGAGTCTAGACATGTTGCCCAGGCTGGCCTCAGACTCTAGGCTAAAGTGATCTCTTCTACCTCAGCCTCCCAAGTAAGCGACACCACATTGGCTCTTTGTGTGGTTTATTAAAGATTATTAACTTTAGCCTCACAACATGAAAAGATTAAAAAAAAGCAATGAAGAGTTATAAAGAATCATGAAAAGAAGACTGCATTCATTGCCTTTTCTTTGTGCGCCTGGTGGGCATGTCCCTTAAAAAGACCTCGTATAAAAGAGAAACTTGGAACCTCTTTACCATCAAGAAGAATAAGCATCAGTTCACAAAGTATGAGGTGTAGGCCTCTAAAAGGTCCTTGGGTCAAAACTATTTTCATAACAATATTAAGATATTATTTGCCTTTTTACTGTCATTTTACAAATCAAGTTTTCAGAGGCAACAATATAATGTAAGATACTGCAACATAATGCAAAAGCAAAAAATCCAGTTATTTTCTTTTTTAAAAGACATTTGAAAAAGAATGTAAAATGTAAATACCATTATTCTTTCAATAATGATTTTGGTTTGGAAAACAGTAATTATTACTTACATAAGCAAAAGTTCTTTGGGGTCTTTCATAATTTCTAAATGTATAAAAGAATCTGTGACCAAAAAGTTTGAGAAATGCTGGATAAATGCAAAGACCTTCTGAAAGTTTGTGTTGGGAGCCCAAACTTATGCTCAATTTTTACAAACCCATCTTCGTGTTTTTACCTGTCTGGAGGCTGCACATAATCACATGGAATCTAAACCTATGAAACAAACAGTATGCTCCATGGAGTGCTTGAAAATCTGCATCTGAATGTTAGGCTATTCTTTTAGTTAGCACAAAGTTTTTTCTTACTTGGGGAAAGAGTGGTCTTTCATCTCTTTTCTTTTTGAGGCACTCTGCCATTAATCTCTTCATGGCTTTTGGACAGTTACTCCGTACCTTACTGAGATCTGGGGATAGGTATCCTCGTCCCACCATGAAAATTATCTGGAGAAAAATAAAGGTAAATCACATATCTTTTATATAAGTTAAAATATATAAACAATGAAAAATCAATAAGCTCTACACTTAAGACATTTGTACTTTTCTAAATACATCTTATGCTTTGATAAAACCAACAATGCTAGTATATGGGTTCCTATATATCAGAGATTGTGGAATACCCATCCCCAAAGGGCTGCAATCTGAAATTTTCATGACCTGGGGCTGTTCAAAGGGCTCTTAACTCCTGTGCTGCTAGTTTCTCCTTATGTAGTCTATGTTCCCGCTGAYAGTAACTGTTATGAAACACACACTTCTTTCCTTAAAAAAAAAAATGGTTACTGAGCCAGGTGCAGCTGTGCACGCCTGTAATCCTAGTGGCTCAGGAGGCTGAGACAGAAGGGATTGTGAGTTCAAAGCCAGCTTCAGCAACTGCAAAGTGCTAAGCAATTCAGTGAGACCCTGTCTCTAAATAAAATACAAAATAGGGCTGGGGAATGTGACTCAGTGGTCAGGTGCCTCTGAGTTCAATCCCCAGTACTAAAACAACAATAAAAACAACAAAAGCAAAACAAAAAACAAAACAAAACAGGGTTATTGAGTACTTTTAATTGTTGGGTATTAGGCTAACTCCTTTGCATATGTGTAGCAAGAACCAAAAAGCTAACCTTTTTAGCAATCATTTGCCCTAGTGCTATGGAAACTCTAATGGGGCATTTGGTTATAGGACCTCAGAATCACAGCCTCTTCCATCCCAATAGAAATCTTTTAACCATGTTTATATGGCCTCAGCTCCTTCCCATGARAAGAGAAGGTAAAGCCTTTCAGCTCTTTTGAGGGTAGATGAAAACAGATGTTAGGAGTCTTGGGAATCTGGGAAGAGAGAATCTGAAGAGAGGGAGTTTTGATCTTAGAAGGAACAGGTCCCAGAGGGCTGGAATAGATGCTAGGGTGGAGGAAACTAGTAAGAAAGCCCCCATTCTGGGCAGAGCTGATGGAATTTTAGATATATTCAAGGTTAATGTTTGGTGTCAAATGACCCTTGTTTATGAGTCTAAAGTAAAGTTTTAATTGCAATGTGATCTCTATGGTACAATTAAAAGGATGAAGCTTGGGAAGAGATATTGAGGGGACACAGATTTCTTCCATCTTGCCCTCTTCTGAATCCAGGATGTATAATCACTTTAATGGAGGAAAGAGACTCAGAATCCTAGCAGGAACTTGGAATAATATCTTGAAGCAACAGGTGACTACAAGCAACAACCAGGAAAAAGTAAAGCACTTAACAAGGGGGTCTTCAAAGTTGAGAAACAGTCTGGACTGCCTACATTCACAGAGGACAGCAGTTCAGATATGCTGACTTGGCTATCAATGGAAAAGGTAGCCCTGAAAGGCCAAAAAAACTTTGGTACACTTGAATTATAGATGTCATCTAATTTAACACTCAAAATAATTCTAACAAGGTAGGTATTAACCCTATTTTACAAATTAGGAACCCAAAGCTCAAACAAATCTAAGAACTTGTCCAAGATAATTCAGCTATATAAGAATTTGGAGCTGGGCATGGCCCACAAACTCAAGATCAGTCTGGGCAATTTAGCAAGACCTTGTCTCAAAAATAAAAAGGGTTAGGGATGTAGCCCAATAGTAAAGTGCCCTTGGGTTCAATCTCCAGCACCAAACAAACAAACAAACAAACTGGATAAGACCATCCTAACAGAAATCTTTTAACCATGTTTTATATGGCCTCAGCTCCTTCCCAGGTTCCTGTAAAATTCCGGTGAATTGAAGGCCTAACTAAAATTGAATCTTGCTCATCATACCTTTCCTTTCACACCAAGAAATGATAATGCCCTCCTTTCTACCAATATCTGTTATGACTATTTACTGCATCAGATGGTTATTAATCTTCTTGTGATTATGTAAATTCCCCAACGAAACTATAGGTCCTTATAGGCAGGGATTGTGTCTCATATATATATGCACATCTTCTTCTGTATTTGTATTTATTTATTTATTTGGCAATGAGTATTGAACGCTGGGGTGCTTTATCACTAAGCTACATCCCTAGTCTTGTTTATTTTTTATTTTTGAGACAGGTCTTGTGAAGTTGTTGAGGGTCTAGCTAAATTGCTGAGGCTGTCCTCAAGCTAGTGATCCTGCTGCCTAAGGGTTACACTTTTACCTGAGCTGAGCTGCTGGGGTTACAGGCATGTGCCACTATGCCCCACTCTCTTCTTTTTAAAAATCTATACTACCTCAGCCTCTAACATTTAACACAATCTTCTGGACACAACAGGTTTTGAAAGTGCAAGTTAACAACTCCTTAAGGTGAATGACAAATTTGTGCTAACTGATTAGCCATGTCATAATTTGTAGTCTTCAAACTAGGGTAAAGATCTCTGGGGCTACATTAAGATTCTACCAGAATTAAACACACATGGTAGTTTTAAGGGAATTAATTTCTACCTCATCAACTTACTTATGTCCCTTTCAAATAACTGACTTGCCCAAGAACTATTCATTCAGGTAAAAGTGTAAATCTTATCCTCTTTCCCCTTTCTCCTCTGTTATAACTGTCCTTCTACTTTACAAAAAGGCTTACTTTTTACCCATATGGAATCTAACTATATATATAGTACGCGTTTTCCAGATTGTGAAAACTATCGAGGAATGAAAGGGATATTTAAAAAAATTATTATCTAACTTAGCTCTAATGAGTAAATAATAATCCCCTTTTGCACCAAAGTTGGTTTCCAATTCTTTGTTTCCAACAAAACTGTCAAGTGATCATTAAAACAGTTTTTAAGTTGTTACTATATAATATCTGGGTGTGGGTGTAATCCCAGGGGCTCAGGAGACTGAGGTAGGAGGACTGCAAGTTCAAAGCCAGCCTTAGCAACTTGGCAAGGCACTAAACAATTCAGTGAGACTATGTCTCTAATAAAAACATGAAAAAGGGCTGGGGATGTGGCTCAGTGGTTAAGTACTACTGGGTTCAATCCCCAGTACCCTCCAACCCCCAAAAAATTACTATATAATTTTTGGCATAATCTAGGAATGAATTCAAGTAATTGAGTGATATGGTGTACTCAGAGAGAGAGGACTGGTCTTTGTGCTTTGCTCCTGGGAAGTAATCACTAAGCCCAGGGGGATGTCTTGTCCTGTTTCTCTGGGGACTCTGGGCCATGTCAGATGTCTATGCTAACAATGTGACTTACAGAGGGGTCTTTGGATCATTTAGTATCAGCATGACCCTTGAAGGAGCTGGAAACTGAGGTCAACTACACAAGAGTCAGCTACACACCTATAAAACCAAGTCCTAATAAAACCTCTAGACTCCAAGGCCCAGGAAGTTTCCCTGGTTGGCAATATACAATGTGTATTGTCATATACCACTACCAGGAAATTTAGTACTGTCCACAACTCCATGGGAAGAAGATAACTGGAAGTTTCACTTGAGACATGTTTTTGGACTCTGTTCCATGTATCTTTTCCCTTCTGATTTTAATCTGCATTCCTTCACTGGAATAAACTGTAACTGTGAATACAACAGACTTCAGAGAATTTTCAGTGAGTCCTTTTGGTCTTGGGGACTATGAAACTCTGCATATGGCTATATAAAACTCCTACCTTTCCTATCTTAATAAGATTTCTCAATATTTACTTCTTTAAAAATACAATAAGGAAAAAAGATCAATATTAAGCCTTGGCTCATCTACCAAAAAATCGTATTTACCTACAGATATATAAATCAACTGAAGGATAAACAAAAGCCCAGTGTTACTTATTAAGATAGACATTTCAATAAAATTTTATATTGTCTCTTCTCTATTAATCAAAACTTACATTATTTTTATCAGTTACATATTAAAAATTGAAACAACGGCATGATTCAGAATTTTTAAGAAATCAACAACCCAAAACAGAAAAAATTTTAAACATTCTAAGTTTAAACTTATAGCCATATTTTTATTGTAAATATGTAACTTGAATAATCACTAAAAAGCTTTAAAGCATAGAAATGTGTTACATTAGGACAGAATTATGTGGAGAGTGAAACAGAATACTACAAATAGTTTGGGGGAAAAAAAGGAATCATGTCCTACCTCAAAAATTAACATAGAGCTATCATATTTTTTAAAATAAGTGATAATATATCAAATTATTATGGTTTTTAGATTTTACTAGATATTTTTATTTTTTGGGGGTGCTGGGGATCAAATCCAGGGCCTCAGCATGCTGGGCAAGTGTTCTACCACTGATACATTCTACCCTAGATACATTTTTAAAAGCATTGTATATAGGTATGGTGGCTCATGCCTGTAATCCTAGCAACTCAGGATGTTGAGATAGAAGAATCACAAATTTGAGGCCAGCTTCAGCAATTTGGTGAGGTCCTAAGCAACTTAGTGAGACCCTGTCGAAAATTAAAAAAGAAAAAAAGGGCTGGGGATGTAGCTCAGTGGTAAAGTGTCCCTGGGTTTAATCCCCAGTACAACAACAAAACAAAAAACTTTAAAAAGAGGGAGTTAGGGGCTGGGGATGTGGCTCAAGCGGTAGCGCGCTCGCCTGGCATGCGGCGGCCTGGGTTCGATCCTCAGCACCACATACCAACAAAGATGTTGTGTCCGCCGAGAACTAAAAAATAAATATTAAAAATTCTCACTCTCTCTTTAAAAAAAAAWAAATAAAATAAAAAGAGGGAGTTAGTTATACCAGCCTTATTTTAAATGTTAACTGAATGGAAAATTATATTCTTAGCAATTACTCAAGCTTAAGGTAAAACTTCTTAGATGCTAATTTATTTATTTATTTATTTTTTGGTGCTGAGGATTGAACCCAGGGCCTTGGGCTTGAGAGACAAGCACTCTTCCAACTGAGTTATACCCCCAGCCCTTTAGATGCTAATTTAAAAACATTCACAGAGATGCAAAATTTTTCAAAAACCTGACTTTCAGAAAGAATGTGAGAAAGAAATCAAAGACAACTCTTACATTTTTACATGCCTCACTGTTTTAGTTTCTGTGGAGTACAGGGCAGGTGACCTTTGCTGCTGGGGTTGGAGAGCTCAGTGATGATGAAACAGCAGGAAAGCGAAAGGACAAGTCTTTTCCGGGACATAATTTGAGAAAATTCGTGGGGTACACATGCACAAAATCTATACATTAGCTTGAAATCTGGGACTGGTTCTTATTTGGAATACACATTCAGTACTCTGACACCCTCCCCTTCATCCCCTCATTTTCAACATCACCCCATATATTGCCTCAATAGAACTCTACATTCCATTGGTAGCTCAGACTGTGCTTTATTCATCTTTGAATGTCTCTATATTCCACAGTGCTTTATATGTAGTAGATGTTAAAAAACCTTTTCTGTTAAAATAATTTGTGTATTAATTAAGATACTGGAACTTATCATTTCCTGTTTCTTGAGAGCCTATGCTTAGAACCCAGGCAATTTGCTGTGAGAAAGAACAAGCAGCCTGAAGAAGTCCTATGGAAAGGACTATGGAAAGTCCTATGTGAAGAATTGGGTTCCCTAGTCCATGGCCTTGACTGAGTTCCCAGCTGACAGCTACTGCCAACTTGTCAGGTATGTGAATGAGCCAATTTGGAAGCAGATCTTCTTAACATCCAGTCACATTGATTGTTCTAGCCGATACCACGTTAAACAGATAAATCTTCCTTACTGGGAGCAGCCTGATTGTAGATTCATTTGAGACACTACATTCTGGATGGTTTGTTATACACCAATAACTGGAATATACTTAAAATAACTGACATATGTTATCTATTATTTTCTTCTAAAAATACACAATATTTCTGTTCCAAGATAAGAAAGCCATGAGGATACAGTCAATATTCTTAGCTTAGATAAGCCCATTATTATTAATCCCCATTTAGTAGAGGATTAAAGAGGGAAAAAGAGGGAGATTAGAGAGGAAAATGAAATGATAGAATAAAACAAATGAGAGAAAAAGTGATTTCTCAGAATCAGCACTGAGAAAAGTAAAGGAGAAATGGTATACTACTTTGCAAAGTAACAGAAATGGTCATCTCTCAGAGAGCTAAAAGACTTACTTTCGTAAATAATCTGATTTTTAGATCTGATTTTCATAACTGGAAAAAAAAAGACACATTGAGAGGTAAGATGACCAGGTAACACAGGTATTGAGGCCATGCCTGCCAATGTATCACACTGCTTTACCCCAGCTCTGCTCTCAGTTTAAAGAAACAACCTGCCACCTCAGACTATGGGGTGAAAGTGTAGAGGAATGGTACCTACACTGCATAGTAAAGAAACAGTTGTTCCATCTCCTATGAAAAAGAAAGAATATTATTCCTGGATTCTCAAACAGAAGTCTAATCTGAGAGCCATGGAACTCAAGAGAAAGTGAAAGAAAATTCAAATCAAGAAGATGAATGGAGCAATCTGGGGTTACTTCACTGAGAATGACCAGAATTATTCTTTCAAAATGGGGAGTTCCATGGAAAGTACCATTTGAAGAAAATAGGCTACAGGATAATGAAGTAGAATGGGGGTAGTGGGAAGAGTATGTCATTCTTTTACCTCTACTTCCTCTAGCAAATACTTAACTTGGTTTCTGGCTGGCAAATTCCAGGGGCTCTAACTATAGTACTAGAAAGAATTAACTAGTAAAGGCCTTACCCTTCTGCTGGTCACTCACTCACTTCTCTCATGGAGAGTAAGCCCTTGCCACATCATTTATTATACTCCCATGGAGGACAAAGCACCTAAAATGCCAAGAAGTGGATGAGTGCAGAACTCTGGGATGCTTTTATCCATATTTTGGAGATAGTAATATTTGTTTCCATATTATAATTATATTAAAATAAACTGACAGATCTTAAGTTCACAAATTTTTATTAATTTGTAGTCTATATGATCAATCAGCTAAAACTAAACTAAAAATCCTTAGTAACTCCTTTGGAATAATAATACCCATAGGAAAAGTGAACATGGCACAGAGTGTTATGCTGTTGTATGCTTGAATTACATTTGTAAAAGACAGAGCACATGATGCTTCCAAATTTTGCTAATCAGACTGCCATCATCCAATCAATCATCTCAATGATCTATATCTGTCATAAGTACAGTTAAGTATAGTGTTTCAATTGTGTTCTTTAGCTAGTATTTTGCATCCCCCCCCATCTAAGTTTCATGCAGGCTTGACATAAGATCATCAAAACAGAAGTTCTATACTGTTTAACACTCAAAACTAAGACTCAACATTCTAAAGCTAATGAAATGATTAGAAAGACAAAACAGCAATTACAAATTCAGCTTTATGATGAACTGGATAGAAATGCAATCACTTTTTTAAATGCTCAAAGCAAGAATCAAGACCCCCACTGGCTACAGAAGATATAGTGATTCAATAGGAAGGCCTAAAGTTCAGGGTAAGTTGGATTACTTCCATGTTACCACATGATAGTTAAATGAAAAAGCTACCACCAAAAAGAGGGTTGAGCTACTGACCAAAATAAATATATCACTTTTACATATAAAATCTATCATTTCATTAGGTTGGGAAGTCATGATAAAATATGTAAAAAGTTTATACTTTTTTGTTTTCATTCTCTGGTTGGGGATTCTCAACATTGGTATGAGTCAGAATCACCTGGGAAGCATAAAAACGGGTACTTGAACCATCCACCAAGCTCTCAGAATCTGCTCTGGTGTCTCCACTTATAAGCAATTTCTCAGGTAATTCTGATGCAAACCATAGCAAAAAGTCTAAATATTTTCAAATTACAGTTTACATTGTCAACTCTTATTTTCTAATATATTAACAGTGAATGCTGGAATCTCTGTCTCCTTACACATACTATTTAAATGCTAAGGTATCCAAGACAGTTTCAGTAAAGACAATTCACTTTTCTTGCTTAGTTTTAAAAGCCTACATGAATTTATTGTGAAAAGACAGAAAATGCAAAGAGCTACATGAACCTGTATTGGTACTTTTCAGAAGGTAAGGGATAGAGAACAGTAACTTAGGAAGTAAAAAAAAAAAAAAAAAAAAAAAAAAAAAATCCCCTCTTACTAGACTTCTCATTATAGAAAACTCAAAGCATGATTTAACATTGCTTCCATGATTTTAAAAATTAAAAAAAAATCTTAATTTAAAAAAAATTCAATACAAAGACATTCATGGCCAAGTACCTACTCCGATGGCACAATCCTCAAAGAGTAAAAGGCTTAACACCTAAGTATTATAGCTGCAGAGCTCATTCTTCTACTTGAGCTCTGGTTAAGAAACATTAAGTATTATCTACTGTTGTGTCTCTAGTTTTCAGTTACAAAATCAGGAATTTCACTCCACTGTACCAGCATTTCAGAGAAAAAGTCTTAGTACATGCTGCTATTATGCCAAAAGTGCACAGAAGATTTCTAAAACTGGTCACCAAGATCAAGAGAGCTATCCTTCAGGCTTACCCAGAACTCAATACTTCCTTTCTATAGCTAACCTGAGCTTTTACACAAAAAATAAAATAAATCCCCAAGAGATGGTAAATATTTACCTGGTCCCTGTTGTTGATGTTTGAATAAGGTAACTGTCCAGTCATCAATTCATACAGAACAATCCCAAATGCATATACATCTGACTGAAAGCTGTACGGATTTTTATCTTGCATTCTGATTACTTCTGGTGCCTGTTAGAACATAAGAAGAAAAATATTGTAGTTTATTCTTCACTTCAAGTGAATAAAGACTGAAATAAAAACTGTAATTGCCAGAGCAGTGTTTTATCATAAAAAAAACTCATCTCTTATTAATAGTCAAACAACTGAAACCAATTAAGAAAGAGGAAGAAAAAAAAAAAAAACTCCTGCTCTATAGATTCTGAAAGAAGCAGTTCTAGGTAAGATTCTATAATGCATTACTAAGACTAATTTTATCAGCTAATTTTCTTTCTGAACAAAATACCATCACTGCCATTTGACTTCTTCCTAAGACTTACCCTATCAGAATCAGTTTCCACTTCTCATTCCTGATTGAGCAAAAAAACAATAACAACAACAACAACAACAAACTAGATCTGTAGCTATAAGATGCTACAGTAATTGTCTCAGAACTTAAGTTTTTCCATTGGTACAAAAGGTTTTCCTCATCTCAGGGCACCTTAGAAAATAATGGTAGAATTTAAAGGCCGATAAACTCGAATTCCCTGTTAAGCCATGGAATAAACACGTAGTATAAACATGTCACGGAAACTTTATTAACAAAAGCTATAGACAGCAGGTAATTTAGGGAAAAAATGGTATAAAAAATCTTTTGGCTGCTGGTCCTTGGCAAAGTAATAGAACAAATCACTATCTACCACATTTTTACATATTTCAGTCATTGTATTGCACAACTATATTTCTAATTTACATGAAATACAATGATTGACTGGTTAACAAAAATTAGCTTAAAAGATTTCTTCCTTCGAAAAGTATCTCCTGTTTTGTTTCATTTGGAAAGAATTAAGAAGTTGCAAGAATATTAATGAAAACATCAATTTGAAAGTAAAAGCTGTACTAACTGCAAAAATGGCTAGAAAAGGTTCCTGGTGTGGGAAGGCAGGTATCTCACAACTAGAGGCAGTGGTTTTTAACTACAGCTGCAAGTCAGACCATTTGTGGAGATTTTAAACCTCACAATGGCCAGACTACACTCAATCTCAGTAATTTAACATCTGAACCTGGGGTGGGTCCCAAATGTTATTGATCATTAAAGCTCTTCAGGTGATTCTAATGTCTAACCCAAATTGAGAACACTGATGAAAGATCTGTGGAAGAACCTAAAGGGAGTCAAAAGATGGGGTTGGAAGAGAAGTTTGCTACTACTTGCTTTTGTTATACATTCTGATGATAGTTGCTTTTAAGTAATATAGTACAAAATAAACCACTTACAACTTTGATGAAATGAACAAACCAAAATACCAAGAAGCCGGTTATGATAAAAGACATAATATTCAAAGCCTAAACTAATTTTTGTGAGGGACAGAGTAAAAACCAGTTGAAGAACTATCTTTTCATACGTGTGTGTGTGTGTGTGTGTTGCTGGGCATTGAATCCAGGGCCTTGTGCATTCGAGGCAAGCACTCTACCAACTGAGCTATATCCTTAGCCCAGAAGACGTCTTTTCAAAAATTAGTTTTATTTCACTGTTGTTGGTGGATGGCTTGATGAAAAGTTGTATGTGAGCTATTTACAAGAAATGCAGGGCTGGGGATGTGGCTCAAGCGGTAGTGTGCT